TCCAATAAAATAAGATTACACATAAAAAAATTTTAAAAAATCCTTTTTTAAGGATTTTTTTCTCGGCGTGTTTCAATTATCCGTAATGTTATTTATAATTAACGACTGCAGTAGTTAAGCTGCCACATAAGATGATTATTGCCGTCAATGATTATAAATATGATTATTCTTTTATTATATAATAAAAATATTGATTTTTGGTCTCATTTAGACTTTTCCAATTAATTGTTCTAACCCTAAAATTTGACCAAATCTATCAAGATAGATGAGTTGTACCAGAATAAAATTGCGACAAAAAGAAGGCAATTTCACACAGCCACTTGAGAAATGATACAATTCAAAATTACAAATCCCAAACCTTAGACAATTTCAAAATATTATGGAAATTGGCGCAAATAGTCCCTAAACTATGACATATGTGCGATTTTGGTCCCGATTTTCTTTTTTCTTGGCATGGACATCCTCTACTTATATTTATCTGACGTAGTATTTACTACTATCTCACCATTGTAAGCATCAAAGATTTGGACATAAATGAAAGTAAATTTAAAGATAACAAAATTTAAGATTGCACTCTATAATGTAATATGGAGATTATAATTAAAAAGATAAAAAAAATTCCGATCGTAAGATCACCCGAATGGTCAAATGAATTGGCTCATGACACAAGGAAAAAGACTTGTCATTAGTGGATTATAGCGACATCCCGAAAATGTCTACATCAAAACATGACTTTCAAATTAAGTTTTGAATTAGTGGATGCCGCCAAAGGAAATGATGATTCCACACCTTCAAAAGAAGACTCATAAAATGGCATAGGTAAAAGTTACTGAACTTATCGAATTAACTTTCGATGTATTTTTTTCATCAAGATTCAATCCAAATCATGATAATATTTTCTCGTTCACAAATGATCGCTTTCATCTTTCTACATTTATGCTCTATTCCTAGTAAAATCAGCTCAAGCCACAAGTTGACTCGTGGACTAGGTCCATGAGCTCAAGATGAGCCGTGTTCAACTCTTGACTCGTCTCAATTAGAGCTCCAACCCATGCATCGACGTGAGACGAGTAGTGACTTGACCCGTTTGCCACCCCTACCTCCACCCTATGTACAACCCTTGCAAAACATTCCACCCCATTCTCTTCCATGAATAGAGCTTAGGTTAAGTGATTCACTTCTTCAGCGAAATCAAATCCAATTGCCAAAGCAGTCATTATCCTTGAACTACTCTAGTATTTGTTATGGATCCATCTTCAGTTGTTTATTTTAATATCTTAAAGTAGTTTCCTACCTGTTCGATGTTTAGCCACAATCGAGATTCCAAATGTCATTGAAGGTGTTTGGCTCCGTTTCTAAAGTTTAGAAACACAGTCAGAACTGATATTATTTATTAACCTAAAAGAATTAGTTCAATTGTAAACTCAAGCTTAGGTTGTTCAATTTTCAGTTATATTTTTAGATTGATTCATTTTCCCATTTGAATCAATCAGAATGCCCATTTTTTGTTAATTATAAGTTAAATCCCACACGTAAGTGCGTTTTGTGCACTTATTCGAGCCAAATTACTAAGTTTCTATGTCGTCTAAGTGTTAATTTTACTTAATTTGGATTAATTTTCTTTTAGGCCATGTTTGATAGGAAGAATTTTCCATGGAAGTTGGAAATTA